GATAGCTTTATTTCTTGAGCAATTTAGGGTGAGACCCTCCTTTTTTATACAACCTTACTAATAGACCCCTAACTTCTTCTAGAATAGAATAGAACCTCACCACTTCTAGGAATGTAGACTGAGCGCATAGCTCCTCTTTTCGATATACTAACAGTCATTAGCACTCAGTTGACCTTCTCCTTTACCACTCCCATTTTTCAGGTGGTAAAAGAAAGCCTGGTGGTCACTGCCTGAGGAAAATTCTTACCTACCTTTATGACCCCATAGAATTCAAGCCTGGTGAGCTTGCTCGACTAGGGGATTGCTGCTTGGGTTTATAACTGGACTCCTGAGAGACCTGGGTAGAACTCAGAGACAGTGAACGAAGAGGGATAAGGAGGATTTTGACCAGAGAGAACGTGTGGACGAGATGGAAGATGAGGAAGAGTCAGATGGGGAAGTACTACCTGGGTAAGAACAAGATGAAAAGGACCTAGATGAGGCAGAATTAAGATAGAACTTAGAGGGAACAGTAGATGGATATAGAGAGAAATCAGGCAAGAAAGGAGCTAGGAACGAGAACAGAACTGAAGCTGTGTTAATAGGATGTTATCCCAGAAGAATTAAAGTGAATGAACTAAAGAGCTCAGTGTGCTGAGATTCTATTTTCCTGAAAATAGTCCTCACCGTTCATAGTTTCTTTCCTGAGCCCCTGGGATGTATAATATTAAGGCTGGTCCCTCTAATATTATACAAGACACATCTCTAGAAACACGTTGGGAAGATGGTAAATTAGTGTGAATCCAAGACGAGGTCCAAAAAGCCCTGTGGCTTTTTTCTGCCTTCTTTCTTCTCTTGGCTCACTGGTTTGGGAGGAAGCCAGCTGGCCTGCGGAGAGCATGCTCCAGCAGCCCTGTGGACAGGTTGATGTGATGAGAAATGGAGGCTTTCTGCTGATGGTCACATGAACAGGCAGCTTGGACCAGAATCCTTCGGCTGCCGTGAAGTCTTCAGATGTCTGTTGTTCCTGGAATGCTTAATTGAAACCTCATGGAGCCAGTTAGAACCACCAGCCGGTGAGCTCTGTGTGAGCTGATCCAGAGGATCCAACACATAGAGTGTGGGATGACAGACACTAAGCTGCTGGGCTTGGAGATGATGAGTTAGGTGGTATTAAGAGCTAATATTGGGGGCCGGGCGTGGTGGCGCACGCCTTTAATCCCAGCACTCGGGAGGCAGAGCCAGGCGGATCTTTGTGAGTTCGAGGCCAGCCTGGGCTACCAAGTGAGCTCCAGGAAAGGCGCAAAGCTACACAGAGAAACCCTGTCTCGAAAAAAACAAAAAACAAACAAACAAAAAAAAGAGCTAATATTGGACTGCCAGATGGTGGCGGCGGCGGCGGCGGCGGCAAAGCACGCACGCCTTTGATCCCAGCACTTGGGAAGCAGAGGCAGGCAGATCTCTGAGTTTGAGGCCAACCTGGTCTACAAAGTGAGTTACAGAATAGGGCTACACAGAGAAACCCTGTCTCAAAAAAAAAAACCAAATAAAAGAGCTAATATTGGGTCAGGCCTGGTGGTGCATGCCTTTCATGCCAGCACTTAGGAGGCAGAGGCAGGAGGATGTCTAAGTTTTAGGTTCAGATATCTCACCAACCTGCTCTTAACTCTCAACTGCATTTGAATTTAACCGCATTGAAATTTACTCAGGGTTCGGTCAGTCACTTTGTCTCAAAATGTGTTAGAATGTATACATAATTATTGACTCCACGTTCAAGCATAAACTACTCGGCGGGTACCAGCCCTCCACCACGTAGACCCGAGAAGGCTGAACAAGCACATGATGACTTAGCGTTTTGACCTGTTGTTCACCTCTGCTTCTTCAGGGGTCTGGAAACCTCATACCCCTCAAATCCAGGGACCAGCCGTCCGCGTGCCTCCGGGTCGTCATGGCAACGCTGCTCTCAGGTTCCTGATTGGTCGTCAGGTTTAGCGAGCCTGCGTTATTATTATTGTGAGGAATAAATGCCTAGCCCCTTAGTGATGTCCAACATCGCCATAGCAACTCCAGTTTTTAGTTCCTAAAGGTTCACTGAGGCCCATCTTGGCCTTAACCACAAGAGGACCCACACAATGCCAGGGGATCCTTATAACCCTCTTTGAGAAAGGCTGGAACCGTCTGGTAGAATGGAGCCCTTTGTGTTGTCGTGTTCCCCGCCCCACACATTTCAGGAGAAGAGAGCTGGCGACAGGGCTTGGGAAAGGTAGGCAGTAACAGGTAGGGAGGCACCAAGGTAGTAATTAGCAGATGCGGGGCAACCTCTGGGTTCTGACGCCAGCCTCCTCTTAGTGGAGGAGAAAAGGCCCAGGCTCCAAGCTCTGGGATGAAGAGGGGTGAAGATGCTGCAGTGGCATCTAAAAGGCAGATTAGGACTAGAAAGGAAGGACCCTCAGCGTCTACCCAGCTTTCACATTGTCCGTTTGTGTAGGCTACACCAGCTCCTAAGCATACATGCAGATACAGCTGTTGGGAACCTTCCTGTTTTAAATTTTTAAAAAGATTTTTATTTATGTATTTGATACATGAGTGATCTATCCATGTATTAGCCTGCATACAGAAGAGGGCATCAGATCAATTTCCACCAACTCGGGACTTCTGGAAGAGCAGTCACTGCTCTTGACTGCTGAACCATCTCTGAGTCAGCCCTGGGTCTCTTCCTTAAGGCAGCCTTCATGGACCTCCATCAGGCTGAGACTCTTCTCTCCTCCTCCTGTGTATTGCTAGCCAAAGACCCCTTTCTGGTCCACCCAGACCAAGCCTACTCTTGCCTCCCCCCACTCACCCAGGTTGGGATGGAGGAAGGGAGGGCTGAGGGGGGGCCTATCGATGAGACTCCACTCCCCACTCAGTGGGCTGAATAGTGGCTTCCAAAAACATTCACTTCCTAATCCCTGGACTATATCTTACGTGGCAGAATAGACTTTGTTGTTGTGATGAAGGATCTAAAAATGGGAGGCCATGACTGGTGGCACAGGCCTGTAAGCCCAGCTGCTCAAGGCTGAGGCATGAAGGAAAGAACTCTTAAGTTCAACAAGACCAGCCTAGAAAACACAGTGAAAAGCTGTCTTAAAAACAAATATTCAGCTGGGTGGTGGTGGTGCACGCCTTTAATCTCAGCACTCGGGAGGCAGAGGCAGGCGGATCTCTGTGAGTTCAAGGCCAGCCTGGTCTACCAAGTGAGTTCCAGGGGAAAGGCGCAAAGCTACACAAAGAAACCCTGTCTCAAAAAACCAAAACCAAACCAAAACAAAACAAAAATTCAGGCCGGGCAGTGGTGGCACACGTCTTTAATCCCAGTGCTCGGGAGGCAGAGGCAGGCAGATCTCTGAGTTTGAGACCAGCCTGGTCTACAGAAGTGAGTTCCATGACAGCCAGAGTTACACAGAGAAACCCTGTCTCAAAAAAACAAAACAAAAACAAACAATAAAATAAAAATTCAGCCGGGTGGTGGTAGTGTATGCTTTTAACTCCAATACTTGGGAAGCAGAGGCAGGTGGATCTCTAAGTTCTAGGCCAGCCTGGGCTACAGAGTGAGTTCTAGGACAACCAAGGCTACACAGAGAAACCATATCTCTTAAGAAAAAAAATTCAGGGGCTGGAAAAATGGCTCAGTGGTTAAGAGCTTGTGTTGTTCTTGCAGAGGACCCAAGATCCATTACTAGCACCCACGTCGGGCACCTCACAACTGCCCAGAACTCCAGCTTCAGGGAGCTGAATTTTCTTACCTCCTTGGGTGTATACACAGCATACATAGACACATATTCATACACATAAAAAAACATAACAATTAAAAAAAATTCAGGCAGGGTGGTGCTGGTGCATGCCTTTAATCCCAGCACTTGGGAGGCAGAGGCAGGTGGATTTCTGTGAGTTTGAAGCCAGCATGGTCTATAGAGTGAGTTCTAGGACAGTTGGGTCTACACAGAGAAACTGTCTTGAAAAACTAAATAACAATAATGAATAAAATAAATAAATATTCAAAAATGACTGTACATGTAAATCAGTGGTGGAGTGTATTCGTGAGGTCTTGGGTTCAATTCTCAGCAACACACACACACACACACACACACACACACACACACACACACACACACCTTGAGTTGGTTAATTGTCTTGGATTATCTGGCTAGGTGGGTCCAGTGTGCTCCTAATATTTTTATAAATGAAAGAAGATAGCTGGAGGGTCAAGGAAATTTGGAGGAAACCACAAGTCAAGGAAGGCAGTTCTAATAGCTGGACATTTAAGGAAATAGATTCTCCTAGTCTTCAGAAGGACCTGGGACTGTTGGCTCCCCAAGCTTATTGAATGATTATTGATTTTTATTTTGTGACAGGATCTCACATAACCAGGCTGGCCTCAAACTCCCTATGTTGCTAAGGGTGGCCTCGAACTATTGGTCTTCCTGCCTCCACCTCCCAGGTGCTGAGATTACATTTCTGTGCCACCACACTTAGTGAGGCCCCTCAGTTTTAGCCCCATGATAGGATCTTAGGCTTCTGGACTACAGAACTGTGAGGTAATTTGTGTGGTTCTACGACATGGTATCAGGGGTAAGTTTTTTACAGTAGCCAGAGAAAACTAAAACAGAACCCCCACTCTTCCCACTGGACCAGCCTGTGAAGCTGGGCAGTGGTTCCCAGTGACCCAGTGCATTGATCCCAGTCTTTGTGGGTGACGTTGGCACCCGGGTATGACCCAAGAACTGGTCTGCGAAGACACACCCTTGGCTTCCCTGATGTTCTTCCTCTGGCTTCCTACCTGGTAGCAGCAGCCGAGTTGCTCCCACAGGCATGCCAAGGCCCCCTGGTAGCTGGCAGCTTGCAAGCCTAGGGTGCCCATGGGCATTCCCAGGCTGCCTTTCGGTCGTCTCTGATGCTGTCACGCCCCGACAACCATTCTGTACCAGCTGATGCCTGGTGCTGAGGACACACACGTAAATAAACCACACAGAGGCCTCCAGATATGTAGAAGTCACATTTCATTCTGGAAAATGCTGCCCACCCTTAACACACATCGTCTCATGCCAAGTGAGGTAAGCCAGGACACGGCGTTTCAGAGGTCTGTGGTCAGCCTATGCAGAGAATAGCTGCCTTCCTCCTACTCTGTGTCTAAGCCAAAAAGGCTTTTGGAAGGAAGACAGGAGCCACCTTCCATAGAGGTGGAAAGGCTTCAACTTCAGCAGAGGCATAGATGGAAGGCTGGGCAGAGCTGATGGAGCCCCGGAGAAGGGGAAGAATGGGGATAATGGGATTAAAGTGGACACAGGACCAGCCATCTCTCATGTAAGCTATGGAGGGCCAGGGCCTTCTCATATTGAATGATTCTGTCTGAGCCACAGGGAGGCCTTAACTCTCCCGTGATGACCAGAACTGTTCCGCAAGGTACTGAGTAGGTCCCAGAAACCAAAGTCTGGAGGGGACATCAAACTCCCAGACCAGCTTGGGATATACTTCCCAAATGAGAACCAGTTTTCAGAAGTCAGGGCCCCTCCCATTCCTAGCCAGGCCACCCCTGGCCCTCCGAGTCAGAGTCCTCATCAGGTGAGCACGTGCTGAAATTTACAGACTAGCTGTGGGCAGCAAGACACATAATCAGAATAGTAACAAGTTTTGTACTCCGAAGATAGGGGCCCCAGCCCCACTGTGGTGAGTCCAAAGGATGAGTGGATCCGAGCCTTCATCCCCAGAGCTGACCAGGAATGTCTCCCTTAGGGGGCTGTGGTGATGATGATTTGAAGTAATTCTAACAGCATCCCATCAAGATCAAAGCTAAGGCACCTTGACACAGTCCGGTATAGATGTCACGGGTGGGGGGTAGGAGGCCAGCTCGACTCCCACAGAGATGAGAATCTGGGGTACCCAAACTAGACCCACACAAGGATGTGGTTCAGAAGTAATCGTCAGTAGGACCCTTACATGCGTGGCCTGGTACCTTCAATTAGATGGTCATGGGAATCAGACATTCTCATGGAATGATTATAGTGGTTTGAGAGAGTTCATGCCTTTTCAGTCCCCAGTCTGGAGAGACGCATTCTGTTAATGCCCTCCAGGATAACAGAAATCCTCAGACCAGGAGACAGGGCTTATCGCACTGAGGCATTTATTGCTGTAGTTACAACCTTTTCCCAGCATCCTGTGCCTGCAGGTTCCAGCCAAGGTCAGTCTCTGCCTTAGGTGTTTGATCTGGTAGTGTATCCAGGGTCCCTGGGTCCTTGGTAGCCTCCTCAAGCTCTGGCGTGTCCTTGGTAGCCTCTGGCAGGGTACTATCCAGGTCTAGATCAGGCTTTGTGGGGCGTGGCATCCAGGTGTGGGTCCAGGATGCCATTGGTGTGGGCCTCGGCGGTTGCCAGAAGCTAGGATCAGGGGCCAGAGCTACAACCTGAGGCCGCGCAAGGCCGGAGGTGGTGACATGAGGGATGAGGAAGAAGATATAGACACCAGAGACAACGAGGCCCGCGGCCACCAGCACCGCCAGAGCCACAGCCGCGTTGAAGGCCCATGTGGGGCTGCTCATGGACAGGCGACGCGACAGCGGGCGGCCGAGGCGCAGCGGAGGTGGAGGCGGCGGGGCACGCGCTGTGCGACTCTTGCGTGGCCCCGGGGACGGTGGCGGTGGCCGCAGGTACAGGAGCCCTCGGCGGCGGTCGAATCGCACGGAGCCCTGGCATAGGGGTGCCACGCGCGCCTCGCGAGGCAGCAGACTTGGCTGCGTGGGTAGAGCGGGAAGGCCCCGGCGCGGGGCCAAGCGCGTGGGCGCACGGCACATGGGGCAAGCCACTGCGTCACCGCCACCCGCCGTAGCAAGGGATAGGCGGGCCAGGCACTCGAGACAGAAGACGTGGCCGCAGTCCAGGCGTTTTGGTAGCTTGAAAACGCCGTCGAAGGGTGACACGCAGATAAGGCACTCCATGGGGGATGCAGGGGGCAGGATGGGGCTGTCGCCCGGGTTGCCGTCGCCCTCCTCCTCTTCTGCGTCCTCATTTTCGCCTCTGCTAGGGGATGTGGGTGCAGAGAGGGTACCTGGGGAGCCCGGGCTTGAGCCCTGGGAGGCTCGGTGGCGGCGGAGCCAGAGGAGCCGAGGACACGGCATCCAGATTGTACCTATGAAGAGAAGGGCTCAGGTAGGGATCTGGAGGTTGTGGCAGGTTGGTAAGATTTCTGAGGGGAGCAGGGAGAATGAAGTTATGCAGAGTGGGTCCAAGGAGGCAGAGACGAGTCCTTAGTTGGACTCTCAGTCCCCAAAGTCGAGACAAACTAGGTAACAGACTGAAACAGCTTTACAAGTCGTAAGGGAGATGCAAGAGGGAAGACCCAACATCAAACCAAGTCAGAATAGCGCCACAGGGAACAGAGGAGCAGTATTTAGACTCCAGGCTGTCTAAATCTGTGGGTTGCAACCTATTAATAAGGGTTGCCAACGACCACAGGGAAAGATGTCTACATATTACAAGGCATAACAGTAGTCAAATTAGTTATGAAGTAGCAACAAAAATAATTTATGGTTGGGGGCCAACACCACATGAGCGATCCCTAAAGGGTCGCAACATTAAGGTTGAGAACCTGTCACTTGTCCACCAGATTCTGGAACAAAAGAGGTACCTAATAGCTGAGAAGCAAAGTAGGAAACCCAGGGTGTAAGATCTGACACCAGACAGAAATGGCTAGCCAAGTTTACAGACACCCTACCTGTTGATGCTGGTTCAGATGAGTATCCTGGTGAGTCTCTCCTGTTCTGACCCCAATTCCTGGCTTGTCTGCCACTAGGTTGTCAAGTGCCCCTCCCTGGAGGGCACCTGACCTTGGGCCAGCCCTCTCCAGGTTCCCATGTACCTGTCAAACCTGTCTGGCTGCTTACCCCGCCCCCAGGCTCCTCCTACTAGCACGAACACCAAGTCTGATCTATAATGGATGCAAGGGTGGCAGGAAGTTCAATGGCACAAGGGCCATGGACCACTTTGCAAAGCCTCCACAGCTGGGCTCCTGGAGACATGTGAAGCCTGCACATAAACACTAAGGGAGTGAGCAAACTGGACCCCATCATACCCCAACTAGACAGACCTAACAGGACTTTTTTAAAAAAAGATTTATTATGTATACAGTAACCAGCCTGCATGCCAGAAGAGGGTGTCAGATCTCATTTGATGGTTGTGAGCCACCATGTGGTTGCTGGGACTCAGGACCTCTGCAAGAACAGCCAGTGCTCTTAACCATCTCTCCAGCCCCAACAGGGACTATTTGAAACACCCTCAACATTGTCTGCATATAATATGGATCTTTAGCACCCCAGCCCTTCCCCTTTATCAGACCCGGAGGGTAGCAGCAATCCTCCCCTCACCCCCAGCACTTGCTGGGTCATTCCCGGGCACTGAGCTTACACCCTGTGACCAGCACTAGACCAGAGTGGTACTTGCCAGGGAAATACATTTCTCGTGGGTCAACATGCCAGGAAGGTGAGCATCCCCTATAGCCATGGGAAGCACCCTACCCCCTCAATGAGAGACAAGAACAAAGGCAGGTAGAACTTTCCCAAAGGGCACACAGTTTATTAGGCAGCAGCTGGGAAATCAGCGGTTAGACTTGGCCACACGCTCCAGCTCATCTTTCTTCTTGATGGCGTAGGAGTTGGAGGAGCCCTGCAAAGACAGGTGGTTAGCTCTGAATGGTGGATGAGCCCCCAGATACCCAACCTGTGTGCCCTGACCCACCTTGGCAGCATTGATGAGCTCATCTGCAAGGCACTCAGCAATCGTCTTAATGTTCCTGAAAGCGGCCTCACGAGCTCCTGTGCACAGCAGCCAGATGGCCTAGAGAAGACAGGTAGGGCTTAGGCCACACAAGGGTACCAGTCCTCCCAGTGATCTGGGACCCACCTCTACAGAAACCCGCTTTTCATCACTACACGCTGTCACCCAGAGATGAGATACAAGGGAGCAGACATCCTATCAGACGGCAGGCTAAAACAATAAACAAAACAAACAAAAAAACATGGGCCCCTACTAACAAGACTTAAGAAGTGCCAGCAAAGTGTGAGATGCTCTTGACTTCCCCATGGTATGCAGGGTCAAGCAAATCCACCTTGTGCCTCTCAAACAGCTAAAACTACGGATATGTGCCACCACTCAAGAGGCTCATAAATGGATCAAGTTTAAAACAAATAAATAAAAAACCCTAAACCTGCTGTAAAACTACACACTAGGAATTAAATGAACCAGACCAGGAGGAGGGCTGGGGCTCCATTTGCCCCACACAGGGTGGAAATCCAGGAAGGTTTCCTGGAGGAAGTGAGGCTCTGGGTAAAACATGCAAGCCAGAACTCCACCCACTCATGCTGGTGGTTCCTGTCCCAGCCCTTCACAAGCCTCTGACGCACCTGATTCACACGGCGCAGTGGGGACACATCCACAGCCTGACGTCTCACAGTCCCAGCTCGCCCAATTCGGGTTGAGTCTTCCCGGGGGCCACTGTTGATGATGGCGTTCACCAGGACCTGCAGAGGGTTCTGGAAGAAAGGGAGGCCATGAGCCTGACACCCACCCCCAACCTCCCCAGAACAAGGTGGCAGTGTCACAGGTGATGAATCTGGCAGATGTACCGTGAAGCTTTGGCATGAATCAAGGGCAGTCTTACCTCACCGGTGAGCAGGTGGATGATCTCAAAGGCATGCTTGACGATTCGGACAGTCATAAGCTTCTTGCCGTTGTTGCGGCCATGCATCATCATGGAGTTAGTGAGGCGCTCCACAATGGGGCACTGGGCTTTGCGGAAGCGCTTGGCGGCATACCGCCCCGCACTGTGGGGCAGGTACTTGGCATACTTCTCCTTCACGGCAATGTAATCCTGGGTGGCAAAGTGAGGATGAAGGGGCAATCAGGGGTGGGACCGGCCTCAGACGGGCATCGGAGGGGGCTGAGAACTGGCTCAAGGCATGGCATGCCCCCAGCAGGCTGTGAATGTGAGCCTTGAGAATAGAACTGAACAAGTGACTGGTGAAGTCACCCACCCACACACCTCTATATCCCAACACTCGGGAGGCAAGAGGATCACTAATGGTTCAAAACTAGCCTGGTCTACAGTGTCTCTCAGCACAGTCAGGGCAACACACTGAGACCTTACTGGGAGGAGAGGGCTGTCCAGGGCACTATAGGACACGTGGCAGCACTTGGTAGATTATTCTGGGCAACACGGTGACCCCAGGCCATGACTACATAGTAAGACATACACACTCTCTCAATAAGTCATATAAAAAAAAGGGAAAAAAAAAAGGGGGTGGGTGGGTGCTGGAGAGATGGCTCAGAGGTTAGGAGCCCTGGCTGCTCTTCCAGAGGACCCAGGTTCAATTCCCAGCTCCCATAGTTGGGAGTTCATAACTGTCTATAACTCCTGTTCCAGGGGATCCAACACCCTCACCCAGACATATATGTAGGCAAACCACCAATGTAAATAAAATACAAATACATAAAAAAAGAGAAAAATAATTGAGATTCAATGTGACCTGCGAGACAGAAAACATTTACAATCTTACTCCTTACCTAAGAAGTTACTGGGTATGTACACATTGCAGTTAGTTAGGTGGTAGTTGGCCTAGCATGTGAAAAGCCCTGGATTCAATCCCTAACAGCAAAAATAAGATCGCAGACCTCTGTAAACAAACGCACAAAGTAAAGACCCACCAGACAAGCCTGAATATACTTTGAATACCTGGGTCCTGTTGTATACCTTTCTCCTTTATTTACTTTGTGCATGTTATGTACGTATAGAAGTCAGAGGATAATTTACAGCTGTCAGTTTTCTCCTTCTATCTGTGAATTCCAAGGGTTAAATTTATGTTGCCAGGCTTAGTAGTAACTGTCTTTACAAGCAGAGCCCCTGCACAGGCCCATTCTGTGGCATCTTTATTTTAATTTAATTTCTTTGAACAAAAGGGACAAGTGAGCCTAAGGATGTAGCAAAAGTCAGTAGGGTCTTGCCTTGCACATACAAAAACCTGGGTTCAATTTCCAGCAGTGTGTAAACCTGGGTGTGGTGATATATGCCTACAATCCCAGCATTTGTGCAGAGTACACAAGATGATTAGCTCTTTCCACTATATAGTGTGTTTTAGGCCAGCCTGAGCTATATGAGACTGTCTCAAAAGGGATATGAGTGCAAAAAAAGAGAAAGAGCACAACCACTTTAATTTGCACATACACTAACACAGCCATTAAATAGCACCCACACGCCCAGAGCCAACTGACACTTAGGAGGGGGCATTAGGGGCATCTCACTATGTAGCTACAACTGGCCGCACACTCAAAATCCTCCTGCTGTAGCCTGAAAGCAGCAGTTCAGGCCCACACCACCATGCCCAGCTTACCAACTGACTTTGACAAGGGCACCAACACTGTTCAGGTTGGTTGAAGTGGTCTGTTCAACAGAGGAGACTGCCAACTGAACATATGAATGCAAAATGATACAAAGACAGATGTAGTAACACTTGTCTTTAATTCCAGCACTTGGGGAACAGAGGCAGGAGGATCTCTATGAGTTCCAAGCGAGCCAGGGCTACATAGCCAAGGCCCTGTCTCAAAAGACAATGGATTCAGAAAAGCAAAAAAACAAAAAAAACCCAATACACTGTAACAACTTTTGGTATAGGTTGTAAAAAGGCAAGGATATGGCTGTCCAGTTACTGCTCTTCTATCTGGTCATAAACATGAACTGGTTTAAACCTAGATGTCATATGTCCTTTTCTGAACTGGAAGAATCCACACCTGCTCTCAATCAAAAGCCAAAAAGGCTACCACGAAGTCCTTTTACCTGTAGAGAAATATCGTTGATCTGCACATCATCAGTGCTCCATTTCCCAAAGAGCTTGATGTCTGGGGTCTCTGCTACCGCTGGTGTGGCTGTCTCCCACTCCGTCATTCTGGGGGACGGGATAGCAACAAGAAACCGTTATTGTTCATCCACCCTAGAACAGTCATATTTACCCCAAACTCTAAAGACTAACCTCCACTTTGTGGGAAACTGTGTAGTAAAAGGGAACCCAAAAGCTTTGAACATCTCTCCAAAAGTAGGAAACGACTGAGGTGTAGAAAGAACCTGCTCTTTACTCAGGAACCCGAGGTCTGGGTCCCGACAGTCACCCAGCTAAACAGCGGGTACGCGGAACCCAGTATAATACAGCTCATGAAGCCATGCAGACACCCATCGGCACACATCCTGTATCAAACTCGCACTGTGCATTTATGAAGCGTCCGTCCTGCGAACTAACAGTCCACGAGTAACATACGGGGATAAAGACCACCTTATGAGTCCGGAGGGAAAATCAATACATGTGTTTCCTTCCTTGTCTGGCGCTATGGAGAAGCTAGGGGCTGCTATGGAGGAAAACGCGTCCTGAGCAAAAGGGTCGCTAGAAAACTAAGAGAACGAGATGTTCGGTCGCTATATAACCCTAGAACCAAGTGACTTTCCTCGGATGCCGAGTGTTAACAGTATGGAGCCAACACAGTGCAAACGGGGCAGCGCAACCCGGCCCGGGCGCGTTTCCCGGACACTCTTCCGGAGGGACGCGGTGAGGTCCAAACGGGAAGGCCCAGGCCTCGGGTGCCGCCTCCGGGTCCCCAAACGCCCCTCAGAACACACGGGGCCGCCCCTTCGGAACTCCGGGCTCCTCCGCAGCCTCACCTGAGGGCGCAGACCGGGCTTCTCGGTCGCTCGGCGTGGACCACGCGCCGTCCTGGCACAGACAGGAAGAGGCCGCGCGCTGCGGGCCGGCGCTTTTAAGTGAAGCGAAAACTTCCGGGTCAGAGGCAGGGACGCATGCGCAGAGGGACAAACGTGCTCCGCGACCAGTCCGGAGTTAGGGTGAGACGCGCCCTTTGAGCCGTACAGCGCATGTGCAATGTCAGAAACAGCGCCACAACCATCTTCTGGCGGATGTCTGAAGTACGGGCCGAGAGTGTGAGTCGGTGAGCATGCGCAGAAGCGTCCGCGAAACGAACACCGCCATATCTAAAAAGGGCAGACGTTCAGTCCACGCTCACGGCCAACGGGCTGCAGAGCCAAGGCGCCAGGGGCCGTGGGTTCCTAGCTAAGGCAGCCAGGTCGGCTCAGCGTTTCTTGGTGGGGTCGGGTCTGGTGGTCACCACTGATCCGGGTCCGCAAGCATCGGCCCCACCCTCTCTACCTTCCGGCCAGCGGGGCTCGGCGTGTCCCAGGCTTCCGGTATGGGACCACTGCCATCTTAAGCACTCTGGCTTCTCTTGTCCGCCCTTTTTTTTCTCAGGACACGAGACTCTGACCACCAATCAGCAGCTGTGTGACCCGCCCGGGGGAGGGTCACAGAGAGAGGGAGTTCTGGAGTGGGGTGAGATTGTCGG